GGCCCCAGGTGTGCAAAATTATCTCCACAGCCAGTCAATTTGCCTGGTGCCTGGCACTTATTGAAACCCTTGAGTGACCAAATAGTTAGTACAGTACATAAGGCGTATAAAGTAGACAGAATTCTCCATGAAATAATTTTACCTATTAGTAGGATGCATATGGGCTCTGTGAAATTTATTTAGAAATGTTGCCTTCTGTAGAGTTCTTTTCTAATGTTCATGTCTGTCATTTCTTTAGGGATACCGCTGGGCAGGAACGCTTCCACACAATAACCACATCATATTACAGAGGAGCAATGGTAAAATGATTCAGCCCTTTAACCCTAAAATAATGAAATAGAAACTACAAATAGCAGCTTTCATTTGAATGGTCACATGCTTATGTGTAGGTTCAGTATATGCTAACTGGTTCATCAATGTACTTGCAATGGGTCATTTTAGAAACATTTCAATTTTAACAGAGAAATCCTTTATTTTATCCCTCAACCTTGATGTCATGTGGTTTGCTTTATTCCACTAGTTTGCTTTATTCCACTTGTTTGAATTATGGCTTGTTAGATGCCTAGATTTGAGGTTTTCTTCCATCAAAAAGTTAGATGTACCTTGTAGAGATTGTTTTCACTGTCACGCAACGAAAAAATAAATCAAAAACTATGCAGTGGATAAAGTCAAGAAATTGCAGTATTACTGTATAGGAAATAAGTAAAGAAGAGACTTCTCTATGTTTTAGGTCTCTGCGTTTTCCTAAACTTCAGATATTTGTCAAAATGTTTTGCACAACTTTACAGAGCCCAGTATAGAAATGCTGTGTTGGTGAACCTCTACGGTCCACCAATATGGCAGCTGGAAAGTAGTGTAAACATCTGGAACTTACTGGTACTTTGGCTATCTAGTCGACTGAATATCTAAATTGAACTAACAAATATTTACACAAGCACTTATTACGAGATAAGTGTATATTCTTCGCAAACTCAATCATAGCTTTGTGTCATAACTCCAATATTCAAAATGCGCTGGTTTCCAAACCAATTATTATGAGTTATTAAAAGTTGTAAACAGATATAAATTTAGATCCCCTTATGCCTGATGAAGATGAAAACGTTTGTGCCTCTTTAGTTTTGAATTTTGGAATTTGTTGACGTCATGGGAAAATGATCTATAGCATAATAAAAACTTCAATACAACTGAAACATTCATTTGAATGGTCCTGTGCTTGGAGTTACCTCCACAGGTAAAATTCACTCCAGAAGTAAAATGATTCATACATTGACAATAATCTTTGTCTTTCAGGGTATTATGTTGGTGTACGACATTACTCAGGAGAAAACATTTGATAACATCTCCAAATGGCTGAGGAACATTGAGGAGGTAATAATGACGGAAAATGATTTGACTTCTAAGGAATGGGTATTATCACAATTATGATTGGCATTGCTCAAGTGAATTTAAATCCCATTTGATACAGGGCAGGAAAAAAAAATTTGAATTCCATTTGCCCAGTGGGCCAGTACATTTCAGTTTTTAGTTGCTCCCACTAAAATATTACTTACCCAGTAGGTGTGCAATGTTCATTCCTTATCAACTAACAAGGTTACTGAGGCTAATTACGCTTGCCCACTGGACCATCAACCTTCCATTTTCACTTGCCCAAGAGCAAATGTGATTCAGTACTAGTGGTGTAATGATTAATCAAATTCTTGATTAATCACGATTATGACCGTTCAGTTCGATTCACAATTCTTTGATTCCATGTTGCGATTTTGGTTCAATTGTTTGCATACCTTTCTCAGAGTGCCCTCAGTGAGTTATTGTATTGTGAAATCAGAATCCAGAACTCTTTAAAATGTGCGTTTTTGATTGATGAGTAAAGACGTTTGCAGTTCGTGCGCCATTTTGTGCTGCGTGGTAAAAATGTTGCCCTTCGAACACCCCTTGAGAATTTCTAAATAAGGCAAACCATGTGCGACACGCTCATTGTTTCCTAAAATGTAGGGTTTAGGGTTGTAAGTTGTTTACACTGTGTATCATGTTATAAGAATTAAAAAACATTAATATTTTGCATAATGGAATTGAAATAATCGAAATTGAAGGCAATAATCAAAATTGAATTGAATCGCGAGGAATATGAATTGTTACACCCCTATTCAGTACTCCCAAATTTCAGATCTAGTGCCCTAAACCACTTGCTCATTTTTTTTGAGAAAATGATTTGTATGTTTCTGATAGAATGTCAAAGAAACCATGATCAGTCGAATGAGCTCAATTTTAACTTACAACAAGTAAAAGCAGCCAAATAAGTTTAATCAACGCTTTCTTTCAGCATGCAAATGAAGATGTAGAAAAGATGATTCTTGGTAACAAGTGTGATATGGATGATAGAAGAGTTGTCAGCAAAGAACGAGGGGAACAGGTGAGTTGAAGGGACCGCTACAAAATGCTGATTTTTTAAACGATAACTTGTAACGTCATTGCTTAATGCTGACATACGACATTCCTTTGGATAAATGATGTTGCACTTATGTCACGCACGATTTATCCTGAATCAAAGCGAGGAGAACAGGGAACTAAACCCGTTTCCTTGCAAACCACCATCTTGATTTTTCGGGATTGAGTGAAATCGTTTTTCGGCGGCTTGTAGCATTGACAAAGTGTTGGTTAGATTTCCAGTTGTTAAACGCAGGTATCGGAACTGGAATGATTGTTGTATTTTACCCATTGTCTTCTCGTCATGTTTAAGCATCTATTTGTTTGTTTATTTTCCAATTTTCTAGACAAAATTTTAGAAATGGGAGTTAAATGTCATAACTTCTGCCTGCATTACGTGCCATTTATTGTGGTTTTGTTACGTACAAACTGGTTGTAAAATTTGTGTGAGAACAGTCACTGTCAGTTCCATCTCTCCATCATCCTCCATACCTCACCCTACCTGCTTTCCCTCCCTCCTTTCCCTCCCTTTCTTTTGTTTCTCTCCCTCCCCTCCAGGCTTTAGCCAGATAGGTGTCCAGGCGACCTGTGGACAGCCACTTTCTAAAGAGAATTGTTTTATTTTTCATATGTTGCCTTATAAATTTCTCATTTGAGCAGGCCCTACAGTACATTTTGGACGGCCACTTTTCAAATTCTGGCTAAAAGCCTGCTCCCCTCACTAAGGTCGTTTCTGCCTTCATCAACAAACTGGTTTCACCACGTATAGAAACTATGGGCAATTTTTTTTTTTAGAGTTACTGATAATTAAACTGGCTGATTGAAACTTTGTTTATCCCAGATTGCCAAAGAGCATGGCATTCGCTTCTTGGAGACGAGCGCCAAAACCAACATCAACATAGAACAGGCATTTTACAACCTAGCCGAAGATATTCTAAAGAAACAATTGAGCAAGGACAACGAGGAAACTTCTCAAAACATTCACGTTAGCAATACACAAGAGAAGAAGGGCGGTTGCTGTTAAAGAAAGTCTAGCAGCAGTTATATTTTTGTTTAATAATTCACTAGAATGTACAGTCAATCCAAGTGAATAAGTGAGGGAGTCAATCCTCTAAACAAATGTATTTAGTGTCTGCGTTCGACTTGGTAGGGAGGATGGACTTTGTCACCTTCCTCAGGTGGAAGATTTTAGATGTTGAAATAGTGTGTTGCTGTCTTTGTAAAGAGTGGCCAAAAGGCCACTGGCATACCTGTGGGGTAGTAGAAATGGGAAACAACCAAACAGATAACATTAGAGTTGACCATCTTTATTAACTTATCATTAGAGTTGACTGTTCAAGATAATTACTCTTCTTACTGATTCTCATACATTTTGTTCAGTGTTAGTTTTGAGAACTTGACATTAGATCAGGTTTGAGTTCTGTTGGTGATTTTCTATATTCTCATCACCTATGTGCTTGAGATTGTGTTGATAATGTAAGAACATATTCAATCCCATTTCTCACTCTAAGGAATCAAAGTGTTAACCTTTGTTTCTTAGGATTATTTCAAGGAGCAAAGTAGCAGCCTTAAGATATTATAACCTATGTAAACGTTCTTTTTATAAAGTAAAGTGATTTAGTCATAGCAGTGAAATGATTGTTGTGAATAATCCCAGGATTATGTTGTGAAATGATGATTGTTGTGAATAATCCCAGAATTACTGGGTTCCACACCTGACTAATTTGCCAAATGGCAAATCATTTGATCTCTGAACCAAACCATGGAAACTCTAAGCAATTGAATCAGAGAATGGACGTAACCAGCAATGCCTTGAGGCAGGGCCCATAATCCTTTTCCTGCCCTGTAGCAGACAGATAAGCTGTGGGGTTTTTAAAGCAGGTGGAGGTAAAGTGCCTAGGATGGGGGGAGGGGGACTTTCATATAAAAAGGACAGCAGTGCTCATTGGAAATTTTGAAAAGAAACCCTAAGAGTTATGAAGTTCCTGTTTTGTGGGCATGGCTTGAAA